TTTGGGCTTAAGGGACAACCCTTTTGATAGAAATGCAATTTGGGATTAGCGGGAGCATCTTGCTCGCTTCCATGAAACAACCTCAATGTGAAGACCAACTAATGCTATGGAAGATCAGGTAAAGCTGGGGATGTTTGGATTCTCGTTGATTAAAAGAGTCAAAGATTGATTACTATGTCTCCTTAATGGTAAATCATTTGGCTCTCCGCTCACATGTATCGGGCCTTCCTTTATATTCTAACCCTTAATTAACTCAACCAATCCTCTTGTTTCAACTATCTTCTCCATGTTTATACTCTTACTGCCATGTGTGACCTTGCTACTTTTCTCTTTCTCAATACCACTTTATCCAATAATCAAAGTTGTTTTTTTTCCTTCCTTTTTTTGACTTTCTTATCTTTCCTCCACTTGTTGCTTAGTGACTGCCTTATTTAGTATTGTTGTTTCCACGACATCCTTTAAACTCATTATTGCATGGTGATTAGCATTAATTTTCGATGTCTCTTCCAATATTGCACCATCATTTCCATTATCAAGAATATTGAACCGAGATCACATGTTATTCTCTTTAGCACCTATGGTCATGTTTCCCGTCTGTATTCCAAGTTCGGTTAACCTTACTCCTCCACTGAACCATTTGCTTTCATTAACAGTTCCAAGTTTTTTCCCTTTTCTTTGCTTTTGAACCACTTGCCAAGGTCCAATGTTAGCATTCTCATTGGGATTTTTAACACCATAAGTGGATGTTCCATGAATACCATATGTTTCCCTCTTTTTTCTTCTCTAAATATCTACTGATCGTGCAACCTTTCGTAGAGTTCCCAAATCCACAACAGGATAAACACATTAAATGGAGTCTTTCATATTCCACCTTATAGTGCCTTCCTTTTATCGAGAACATTGCAAGCAGTGGTTTGGTTATATCCACTTATATACAAGTCTAGCATATTTCCTCTATCTCTTGTGAGAGTATTCTTATAAACATTGATTGTTTGTCTGATGCGATGTTCAATGAATGTGAAAACCTTACCATCATAGTATTCAATTGGGAGTTCTAAAATTCTCACCCATACTGCTATATGTTTTATAGCATCATTAGATGGACAAAAATCTAGGCACCACTCTGCATTGTGAGATAATGGTCATATATAAGCCACATGCACTCCAACAGAGTTGTTTCTTGATCTTCTTCACTCGTAAACATGACAAGCTAATATTCTTGACCTAAATTTACGATGTTACGTATTCCATGTTTGTCCCACATTTGTTGAAGCATGTTCTCCAAAGCCTTGTAGCCAATTCTTCTTTTAAGCATTTCGACGACCACTCCCTTTCTCCATGGTTCAAGAATCCCCGTTTCTTCCATCGCATACAAGATGAATTCAGAACAGTCATAATCTCCAATCTTCTATTCTTCTATCTTTAGCCCCATCTCCTTTGCCCAAAATCTTTTATGTATAACCTTTGTTTTGGTCTGATTGTTCTCTTGTAACCATGTTTTTGGAGGAATTTGTGACTGTAACACCCCGATTTTTTATATGTATTTTTTATAGAATTTTGGAGTGTTTTTATTTTAATAATTTAATTGGTGAATTTTGGTTAGAATTAGTGTAGAAGTGATAATTGATGGTTTAGGTGTAAACTAGATTTAATTAAATTTTTAATTATTTAATTAATAGAAAAATATGAGAATATTAGCTTAGGGACAATAAAATAGACTTTTAAAGAAATTAAGGAGGTGGATGGAGTTATAGAGAGTTGAGGGGAGTTTTTATAAATTAATTAAAATAAAGGAGAGTTAGGTTTTATTTAAGTAGATGGATCACGAGGGTTCCTTACCCTCCTTCCTTCTTTCCTTTTAATCCCCCTTTGATAATGTTTGAGGTCAAAGAAGGTTTGAGAAAAACATTTCTAAGATGATTAATATGATATGATTTCCTTTGTGCAATGTTGATTGTAGCTTTTGAATTAGTGATATATGTTGATGTCTTCTGATAAGGTGAGAATTGAATTGATATATAATGTTTATGCTATATGATAAGACGAGAATATAAATGTTGGATTAATAAAATATGTTGATACCTTATGATAAGGCGAGAATATAAATGTTAAATTGATAAATTATGTTGATGTCTTATGATAAGGCGGGAGTATAAATGTTGAATCTGTGATGTTGATGTGACAAGATATTGAATTTGAGATGTTTGATGCGATAAAATGTTGAATCAGCGGTGTTTTATTCATATTGTTCATGTTTATGTTTATTTGTGTGTATTGGGGCGGTTGAGACTCAAACAGGCGAGTTTTGGATATGTTTAATAGGGAGAAAAACGCAAAACAAAAATCGCAGATAGACATAGAAGAGGATTATTCGTCTTGTTTCATGCGTAACCTGAGTTTCGTAAGTTCGTTTAAGGTGTCTTCAGTTATGTTATAAAGTTAACACAATAATCTTTCTTTTGAAGTGGAAAATTTGGGTCTAGGAGAGCTACAACAATATAAATTCTCTAGTTTTTATACCAGATGCGTAGTCAAATTTCAATCCTGAGTGAGTCATCTTGTTTCATGTGTAATTGGAGTTCCATAACTCTGATCGAGATGCAATCAATTGCATTTGAAAGAGGATTTAAAGAAATTTTAAACCGAAGAGCTTCATAATTATATCATAAATCTATAATATTTTATTCTATTGCAAAGTTAGACATTCTGTTTTAAAGTTTATGTAGGAAATATTGTGATATGGCTGAACTGAAACTAATAGAACTGGAGTTTCATAACTCCAATCGAGATGCGATCAATTTCATTTAAAAAGGGGTTTGAATAAATTTTAAACTAGAGAATTTCATAATTTTATCATAAGTCTATAATATTAGGTGTTATTGTAAAGTAGGACAGTTTTAGAGTTAAATTTAGAATTTTGGGAAACCCTTTAGCAATTCAAGAAATTGAGTATATTTATAAATAACTTTAATTTGAGTTATTCAATGTGTTAGAGTTGAGTTTGATATGTTTTAGAGTCGAGTTGAATTAAGAGGGTTGAGTTTTGAGTTATTTGATGTTTTAGAGTTGAGTCTGATATGTTTTGAGTTGTGTGAATTAAATGAGTTGAGTTTGAGTCATCTGATATGTTTAGAGTTGAGTTGAAGAGTAAACGAGTTAAGGTTAGAGTACACCTTGTGACTCTTTATTTTCAAATAAAAAATAGAAGAGTTAATTGTGAGCTCTATTGAGTTTCGAGTAAACCTTGTTACGTATTGATGGTTGTTGATGCTATTTTTACCATGTTGATGAACATTATTGAGAAATTATATATTTAACTATTGTGAAATTGTTGAGTTATGTTGAGATGTGTGGTTCGTAGGGGAACCACTATTGTGGCCTTATATTGACGAAATTTATGTATTATTTGGAATTATGTCGAGGTGTTTGATTTAGAGAGGAACCATTCGTTGTGGCCTTATATTGGTGACGTACGAACTTTGGTCCAGTGACGAGTTACTGCTTCAGAGAGGAGATTAGTGACAAGTCTGAGACTTCGGTATGACAACGAGTCTTAAGTTTAGAGAGGAACATAAGAAGAGTGTTGGAGTTGTAGGTTTAGAAGAGTATTACATTTGTATTGTTTGTCGCATCATGCATCATGTATATTAGAGATAGGTGTACGAAATTTAGTCTAGTGACAAGTTTTTGGTTCAGAGAGGGGATTAGTGATGAGTCTGGGACTTCGGTTCAATGTTGGGTCCTGGTTCAAATAGGGTAGCTGTAATGAGTCCTGGTTTAGAGAGGGGACCAATGACAGGATTAATCAGTAATATAACTCTGACATCCAAAAACCTTGGTACCACATACATTGAGAAAAGAATGTATTGCATATATAACCGCATTTGTGATTGATTATTGTTGCGAATGATCTATGTGATTGATGAATGATACTGTTGAGTTATCCTTGTTGTTTTATGCACCATTAACATTTATGAATGTATTCTCACCCCCTATATGTTTATGTGTTGTTCTTTACTCTGATGGTACAAATACTCAGGCAGAAGAGCCTTAACTACTGTTGAGTTGGAGGATGGCGTAGTGGCCTTCTTCGTGGTTTATCGCTTTTGAGTTTATTTTAGTTTCTTGTGTTGCTCTGATAGTGTAACACTAGGATGAGAATCCATTTTCTGTTTTATGTTCTGCAAGTTGTTTAATTGAACCTTTTATAATTTAATAAAGTTGATATTTCTTTTTATGAGACAATTAAAGTTCTGTTGAAATTTATCTCCACTGCTATAATATTATTTGAGAAAGATGTTATGCTTAGAAAATGTGACACCCTTTTGAATAAACTATTATGTTTTATTTTATAAATTAAGTGTTTGGAGTTTAAAATGTTACAATGACCGTGTCAATCGTTTCTTATACATGACCCGAGTCTACTAAGACACAATCCATCCGCGTTGTCACGACCTCAGTTTCTAGTGCATGGCCAGAATATGCTTCACCACAATCCATATGCGATATCGATACCTCAGACGTATTGTCTTCTATATCTTTGATTCTTTTTATACTTGTTGCCTTAAGTCATTTTCTTGAGCGTAATTCATGTGGTTTGCGATCATAAACCCTAGCGGAGGGGGTTCCATACCAGAACCTTAACAATGTGATATTGAACTAAAACATTAATAAAATCAATTTTATAAAATTAATTCTTTAAACATAAATTGTTGTGACCGTAGAATAAATATATGCAGCTAAATTCAGTTTTACAAAATTAATTAATTGAAAAAAATATAGTAACAAATCTATAAGTAGTATTTATTTTTAAATAACAAAACAAATAGTATACATTTTGCAATGCTTACCCGAAAACCAAAACTTGTATAGAAATCCTTCCTAGATCAAATATTTATTTTTCCAAATTTACAAATGAACAACAGTTCTGTTAATGAAAACGGTCCATGATGAAATCAAAGTGTTAAGTAACAAGAAGAACACATAAAAAGAACCTAAACATGTCTGTTTCTGTTACCGTCACCTCCTCCGTGGGACCCTTTCTTTCCCGATCCCGCTGGCGGCCAACGACGGCTCTCCGATCCAGCAAGGTTTCAGTTGAACAAACGATATCATTAACGAAACTGAAACAAGAGTGTGCCACTCCTCTCCCCCTTCTTCAGCATGTGGCTGATACCATGTCTTCTGAAATGCGGGCCGGGCTTTCTTCCGAAGACGGGCCCGGGCTTCCCATGATACCTACTTATGTCCACACTCTTCCCACCGGGTATATGTGTTTGTTTTCATTTCTTTCTTTGCTTATTACTATTTCACTTCATGATGATCGATCCACAATTGTTTTCATATAGGAATGAGAATGGCTTGTTTTATGCATTGGATCTTGGTGGAACAAACTTTCGTGTCTTGAGAGTACAATTAGGTGGCAATCATGATCGTCTTGTTTCCACTCAGTTTCAACAAGTTTCTATACCTCATGACCTCATGTCAGCTACATCCCTGGTATCTATAACATCCAAGACACAACATTGACACATGTGATTAAGTTCAATTTATTTATTTATTTTTCAAATTATTTGTATCGATGTGTCGGTGTCTGCCAGTGTTGTGATAGCGAGGTATTTTGTTTGTTTGTTTGTTTGGTTTGCATGTTAAAGCTTTGTTGTTTTGTTAATGATTGGTATGTAATATAAGTAGGAGCTGTTTGACTTCATTGCTTTGGGGCTAGCTAAGTTTGTGGCAAAAGAGGATGGTAAATTTCATTTTCCACCAGGAAGAAAGAGAGACATTGGATTCACATTTTCATTTCCTGTTAAACAAACTTCTATTGATTCTGGCATATTAATCAAGTGGACTAAGGGTTTTGCTGTCTCTGGAACTGTATGTGTTTCTTTCTTTGCCTCTTTTTAGTCTTAACCTCTACTCGCTATTTAGTAACATAATTCAAGCTTTTTCATACAGGTAGGAAGAGATGTGGTTGTTTGTTTGAATGAGGCTATGGAAAGACAAGGACTAGATATGCGAGTTTCTGCTCTGGTATGTCGTTTGTATTGTAATAGACTCGTGAATTTCATACAAGTTTTAACAAAATGGAGTGTTGGTATGTATGATTCTAGTAATTGTTTACCTAATAGGTTAATGATACTGTTGGAACACTAGCTGGAGCAGAATACTATGATAATGATGTTAAGGTTGCTGTTATTTTGGGTACCGGAACCAATGCTTGTTATGTCGAGCAGATAAGTTCCATTCCGAAATTACAAGGACATGTTTCTTCTTCTGGTAAAATGGTTAGTAGCTAACAGTGGCACACTTGATTTTAAATTTTGTTGATGAATTAGCTCATCTTAATTATTGTGAGAAAAAACATTGCTTGATTGATTCAGATCATTAGTACTGAGTGGGGGGCTTTTTCCAAAGGTCTACCTTTAACCGTGTTTGATAGAGAAATGGACGCTAGCAGCATCAATCCTGGTCAGCAGGTAAGTTTCCGCACTGTCTACGCCGTAATGCTGTTGTTCTTGTTGAAGTTGTATTTGAGTCTCTCGTTGTTAAGTAAGGTTCTTTGGGGTGTGCAATTTATGCAGTTGGACACTGTTGGCTCCTAAATTCGACACCTTTGTTTTGATTGATGGCAGCCATTAAAAGCTGAAAGATGCTTTCGACTGGCTAAGCCTGTCGAAATGCCCGTCGAAAGATGGCAAAGTACTTAGGAGATTTCTTCCAAGGAAGAAGGCTGATTGCCTTCGACGTCGAAGGAGTTTTCGTCGAAGACGCTTCCTGATGAAAGTGTTCGATGATCCAGAGTGGAGCAGTTTGAAATTCAAAGCTTTGGAGGGAAAACGGTTTCCAGCAGTTACCACGTGCAAACGTGCAAGGATCTGGAGCGTCGAACATGGAGAACGTGACAAGTGGCTTGATCTCGAAGCAGTGTAACTGCCCGACGGTTACTTGGAATGGTTTTGTATAAATAGGAGTAGACGTGTAGTTTCTCGCGTGTGTTCACAATAGATACATAGTCACTCATTTAGATTCAAGTACCCAGTGTGAGCGAACGAATTGTTGAGAAATGTATGTGTGAAACACCAATTTTATCAATTCAAGTCATTTACTTTTCCAGTATTTTACATGCTTTTCCCCTTTAAGATTCCTGTCGAACCTTTACATTCAAGCCTTGTTTATCTTACCAAGCCTTTCCTTTATGCAATTTACTTTAAACAATTTACTTAAAGCCTTATCCACATTAATTAAACTTCAAAATCAACCTATGTCCATAGGATCAATCTGATCGATCCTGCGAGTAACCAAATAAGTAACCATTTGGAGGATCAGCGGTTGTTTACCAAATCCCAAGGTAAACAAATTGGCACACCCGGTGGGACTGTGTGTTGATTGTTGAAAAATCTCATCTTTTCGAGTTGTATGTTATTAAGGAGTGGTAGAATATACACCAACGATAACAATACTGCCAGAAGAAGGGAAGAGATGGCGAATCCGCCAAACAATAATGAAATTCCACCACCAAGTGTGGGAGCAACGGTTAATATGACCGTGAGTGAAGCGACGAATGTTGGTTCGACACCAGCAGGGTCAGTCACAACCACGGGGCCAATAACTTCGTTTACAGGCCCCAGAATGCCTTTGGGAACCCCTCCACCAAGGGGAAATACAGGCCCAAGGCCTGTGGTTCCCCCAGGATTTATTCCATTCTATGGTATGCCAACTTCTGAAGTGGCAAGCCTGACGAATGCTGCGTCCACTTATTCAGACCCTTTCGTGAGTGCCACTTCGCCACTCCAAGGCTCTGGAGTAGGCATGGCGAATAGAAATAGGACCCAACTCTTAGGAGGAACGTCCCAAGTAGCCCATGGCCTTACAAATGCCTCGACAGCAGTCTTGAGGCAACAGATGGACGAAAGCAACCATGATATGGTGCAAATGTTGGCACAAACTTTGAGTACAGTGCTAAATCCTCTAATACAAAATACTACTCAATCGAATCAGCAAGTCACAGCGCAAATGACGCGTTTGGCTGACTTCTTTGGAGTACCCCCACCCATTCGACAGCCCCAAAGGGCGCAAATAAGAGGAAATCAGGGGATATTTGTAGAGGAAGAAACCACCATTAACCAGGTTCAACAGCCTGTTGAACAGCCTGTCGAAGAACCTAGGGTAATAGCCCCAGAGGTAAGGTTAGTTAACAGAAACCAAAATGCTGACGAAGTGGTTCAGCATATCCAACACCAAAACATGGGTTTGGAAAATAATCTGGCAACCATGATCGAAAGGATCATGAATCAGAATGGGATGAACATGGGCTTTCGAAGGCCCAACTTTACATCTCCATTGTCAGAATATGTGTTACAAACTGACTTACCTCCTAGGAGCAAAGTCCCCAAATTTACTAAGTTCTCTGGGGACACGACAGAATCTACTGTCGAACACGTGGCGAGGTATTTGATCGAAGCAGGAGACATTTTAAATAATGAAAACCTAAGGATCAAATACTTCCCAAGTTCCTTAACCAAGAACGCTTTTACTTGGTTCACAACTCTACCCCCCAATTCGATCCACCATTGGACCCAGTTGGAAAGATTGTTCCATGAACAATTCTATATGGGGCAAACCAAGATAAGCCTGAAAGAACTGGCGAGTGTTAAGAGACGTTTCACTGAACCTATAGACGAATATCTGAATAGGTTTAGGTTGCTTAAGGCGAGATGTTTTACACAAGTGCCAGAACATGAGCTGGTCGAAATGGCCGCAGGTGGTTTAGATTATTCCATTAGGAAGAAGCTAGATACCCAGTACCTAAGAGACATGGCCCAACTGGCCGATAGAGTTCGACAGGTCGAACGCCTCAAAGCTGAGAAAGCTAAGGCAACGAAAACTCACAAGAGAGAGAGAATAGCTTACGTTGAGATGGATGACGAAGATCTAGAATCCTTCGACGACACTTTAGCTATCGAAGAAGGAGAAGTCGATTTAGCAGAACTAAAACAAGGGCCACCATACTCTTGTAAACAGTTAGTCCCCTCAAATGGGAAAAATCCCATTGGTCCAGACAAGACCAACGATAGGTTCCCAAAAAAGACTTACAGTTTTGACATCACAAAATGTGATGAAATATTCGACTTGCTAGTTAAAGATGGCCAAATGATAGTACCCCCTGGGGTAAAAGTGCCTCCTCTTGATCAAAGAAAGAAGAGGGGTTTTTGCAAATATCATAATTTTCTGGGCCATAAAACTTCTCAATGTTTTCTTTTCAGGAATCTTGTGCAAGACGCTATTGAGGAAGGGAGATTAAAGTTTGCTGACAAATCCCCCATGGCTGTCGACTCCAATCCACTGAAGGCTGAAGCCCACTATGCAGAACCCTCTGAGGTGAACATGATAGAGGCAACCAGGATCCAGTCGAAGAAGCCAGGCATTACCATGGTCGAAGTCTCAAAGGATCACATCAACATGCCAATCTTTGGCAGTTTTTCTGGAAATTTATCCAGGAAGACAATTGAGGCTGTCCAGAAAGCGGTCGAAGACCCAAAGTCGAAGACTGCTGAAGCACAAAAGACTGGACCAAAGCCCAGTTCCCAATTGGCCACTGTACAAGGCCAGACGGAGAATCTGGAGACACAAATGAAACAACTAACTCTTGCTACTAAGGATACAATGAATATCAACATGGTTGAACTTTCTGACCCTAAAACTTCAGAAGAAGCCATAAGGCAAGAGCAGGCAAATAAAACGGCTTTCCCTAGGGAAAACGAAAACTTGGCAGATTTTTTACAAAGATGCCAAAAGAAGAAATCAGAGGTGATGCTGTGTCCAAGATGCAGTTCTATCTTTGATAAAAAAGCTGCTGAGCACATACAAGGAGTGAGAGCAGCGAACAAGAGAAGGGAGAATTCTGACCTTCGACATGATCCCAGAAGGGGTTCTAATCAAGACAAGAGGCCTTTGACTTTTAGGCCTCCAACAAATGTACCAGTAGACACTTGGTACAAAACATCTGGCCGGAAAAGGCCAAGTGAAGAGAAATGGCATTCTTTCGAAGTGCCAAGGGGTTCCTCTTTAATTCAGAAGAAAGATCCTCAAGTTGCTGCACCCAAGGTTGCTCAAGTGTCCAGCAACTACAAGGGAAAAAATCCTATGTCGAGATCCCAATGGAGGAGATATCAAAGAAGGCGAAAAGCTGAAAGGGAGGCTGCCAACGAACCTAAGGCAGAAACTAGTTCGAATGTGCCTCAAAAGAAACAAAGAAAGCCTCTTGAGAGAGAACCAGTTACCAATAGGCTAGTTTGGCCTAACCAGAGCGAAGTCGAAGACGAAGATGATGTTGAGTCCGACGATACTCTGGATATAATGGTGAACATTGTTTCAGTACTGCCCAGGGAATTCAATCGACAAGTAGAAGTCGAAGCCAGTGACTGGGAGGTGGAACAAGAAATGGCCAAACACAGGCCAGTGTGCTATTTTGTCATGGACAATGGCACTACAGAGGAACAAAATGGCTTCTTCGAGCCACCCACAGAGGCGATGAAGAATCACCTCAAACCTTTGTTCATAAGGGCTAAGCTCGAAGAGACCACTGTGAACAAAATATTGGTCGACTGTGGGGCCACTATCAATATTATCCCTCATTCGATGCTAAGGAAGATTGGCAAAAGGGATGAAGAAATCAAACCTCACAATATGGTCCTGTCCAACTATGAGGGAGGCATTGGGACCACCATGGGAGTGATCCAGCTCGACATAAAAGTTGGGTCGATCCTTCGACCAACAATGTTCATGGTCATATCGGCCAAACCTAACTACAACCTTTTGTTAGGCCGTGAGTGGATTCATGGTGTAGGTGCTGTGCCTTCATCGATGCATCAAAGGTTGCTTCTTTGGCGTCCAGATGGGATGGTCGAAAACATAGAGGCGGATCAAAGTTACTACCTTGGCGAAGTAAATCACTTGGGTGTAACAGATTTCGACAAAAACTTGGCTCACATAGGGCCATGTCCAACCCCTGACTTCGACATGGCGCCAGCGCCAAACACCTTTTGTTCCTTATACCTGCATCCTGAGCATGGTTTCCAATGGGACAAAGAAGACTTGTCCCACATAGACTTCAGTGGGCTAACTGATATCCAACCAACTGGTTGGGGAAGTGAATTCAGTGATAATGACTGAGTCACAATCTCTGAAGCGAATTTCGGCTTATGTAGCCGAAACCAAGATGATAACCGCTCTCGAAGCCGAAGTAAAGTACATGGCCACTCAGGCCAATGATCAACAATTATCTGCTGTTGGCCCAGGAAAGGATTTCGATCCAAGACCTCCTGATATCATGCCAGATGAAATGCAGGAACAGAGGCTCGACGCCATCTATGACGATGAGCCTTTGGGCTTCGAAAAGGATCCCTTGGCGAACAACATTAAGATGTTAGCACAAGACCCTTTAGAAGAAATCAACTTAGGCGAAGGATCAGAGAATAGGCCAACTTACATCAGCGCCAAAATTGATCCAGAACTTAGGTTGGAAGTAATCCAGTTGCTGAAAGAGTTTAAAGACTGTTTTGCATGGGATTATGACGAAATGCCTGGTCTCGACAGAGGATTG